ACTAAACCAGCTAATATTAATATCCACTGACAAGGGGCAGGATTGCTTTATATATATATATTAAAATATATATATATATATATATATATATATATATATATATATATATATACACACACACACAAATATTTAAGCTGTTTGAGAGCATAAAAAGACTGACTCTGTTATGTTATCTTTTTGGCGCAATTTGCTTGTCATGATTCTCTGATCAGTTGAGATTTCTTTGCAGAATCATGGGTAATGCATGTTTTCATCAGGAATTCTGCTTATTTTTAAAATAAGTTTAAATAATGCTGGCTTAATTAAAAAGCTCATCTATTAACAACCTGGTATCTCACAATAGGTCTGTCTTTAAAGATTTATAAGATATCATTAACAATAGATGGATAAAATGATTGATAAAAAAAATATAAAAAGGTAATTGCGACTTTCTCTCGTATTATCGCATTTTGGACTTTTCTCAAAATTGCGAGATATAAATTCTAGACTTTTTTTCTCTAAAGTTCACATCTTGAAATTCTGTTTTTTTTCCTTCTACGAATTAAAAATAAAAAAGGTAATTGTAACTTTTTATCTTACAAGTCTGACTTTATTCCTGATAATTATGAGGTAACATCATGCAATTCTGACTTTTTTTCTCAGAATATATGTCTTGCAGTTCAGAATTGTGTTATTTTAACTTGCAATTGCGAGTTTTGGGAGATAAAAAGTTGAAATTACTTTTTTTTTTTTAATGCAAGGGCGTTAACAGGCTTCCATAAAACTCAATTCCCCTATGGAGAAAATGTATAGGATTTTACTTCCGGAACCCAATTGTTCCACTCAATTACAAATTTTCAATCATTCGACTCCTACCTCCCTGGGACAGTAGCAGCCAGACTTGGTGGTTGTGGTTCCATACAAGGGCTTCCATCTTGTCTTGGGCTAATATTCATACTGGCAGTTAGCTGGGGCATTTTTCGTGTATTCTCAAGATTGGGGGCACCACTCGCTGGCTCTTTCCTGCCCTCTAGTGGTTGGCGGGAACCTGAAGGTGGGGCACCACCTAGTGGCGGGTCAGTGCTGAAGCGTACAGCCAGACTGTCTCCAAAAAAGGAGTAGAGTTCACAGTACATGGCAGGAAGAGATACAGGAGTCCACTCCTCCCATGGACAGCCAGCTCCACCTGCTTGGAGATGGCTTGCAATGCCAAGAGGGGGTTCGGAAAGAGGTTCGGGAGGCGGGCTGAGGCCAAGTGAGTTTTCTCTGAAGCCGACAGCTCCTGTGGCAGTGCCTGGTAGACCAGCACAGCCTCCTTCTGCTGCCAAGGTCAGACTGAGTGCCTTCATCTTCAGCAAACGCTCTACCGCCACCTTCAGGGAGGAAAGTAAAGTGGTCACTTGACTTCAGAGGTTTAGATAAGAGACATTTGTGTTGGGCTAATCAACTGTTGAATGGAAGGCAGTGTGATTAATCGAAATGAAAACAAAATCTCAATATAGCCTATAAAGCCTGCAATTTAATTAAATAAATATATGCACATCATGTTTCAAAATGAAGAGCGGCACTGTGTTCTTTTACACGTGAGAGCAGCTCATGAATCTGGTGTTTCGGTTTTTCTGGTGTTTTCAGCAGATTGGTTTGCAGTAAATGCTGTTCCACAAGAACTCCATCTCTGCAAGGGCTGCGAGTTTGGGTCTCTTATAATGTGCAACTGGGAACACAAAATGAGCAAACCATCTTGCTCTTATAAACCAGTTGTTTATCCAGCAGCCTTAAGGGCCTCTCTGTGGTTTCTGGCTAAATAAAAGCTGTGTACAAACAAATAAACTTGAATAAGCTAATACATTTATATCAGAATCCTGAAAAGAAACACAAGCACTACAGTCATTGTTTAAAGTACTGTACCTACCAGAATGGCTCCATAGACTTTGTGGCCATCTGCTTTCACCTGAGCGTTGGACACAGAGTAATCATCTAGCACAGCTTGTAGATTCGCCCAATAGGCAGGGAGGTGAGGATACAGCACACGTTCAACAGCCTGTGTCAAAACACCCACACAAACAGTGCGACATTTAGTAGTAAAAAGCGTATTTGTGTTTGTGGCTGTTGTGCTGTCTGTGTTTACCTTCCAGCCGAGAGCATGCAGACCCACTACTGCTCCATAGTGGGAACAGAGAGGTCTAACCGGATCGGAAAGAACCTTCTGCAGAGAAAGAAGAATCTGATGGTACAGCCCACTCACAAGATCACCATGTGTCCTACAAGTCAACATGAGAAAAACAATCAGTTAGACGAGTGTTTTTGAACTGGAATTATTCATCAAAGCTTAACTTTACTGTAGGATTCTAAAGAAATACCAGAAGATGTGGCTGAGCAGAAGGGCTGCATAGTCTCTCAGGGTCCAGTGGTCATTGAGGGGGTTGATGGAAGCAGCCAGAGGCTCCAGGATGCAGTACATGACACTGGACACAAGACTACGCACATATGAGCCCAGGTACAGGTACGGGTTCTGCACCAAACTCTTCACCATGTGTAGGAGTCTGTTTAACTGGTCCAGATCATGACTTACTGACTTCACCTAAGAAAGAGGAAAGAGATTCACAGATTATAATATGCATCAAAGAGCCCAAGGTCATGTAACAAGTTTCACTATTTTTACAGTAATTACAAAAAAGCCATTATTATATAAGGTAATAATAATTAATGAAGGCATTTTGTACTACATGGACAAAGCAGACTTACCCCACTGATGACGTAAACGAAGTAAGGCAGGAGGGCAGCGATCTTTGAATTGGACTGGAGGTCTAGCAAAGCCACCTGATTGAAGCAGAAAAACATTATTATACTAGCAAGAGAAAACAAAACGGCTCCGCCTCATCTGTGCTCTGGTGCATATTTTAATGTTTTGCTAAATTTTTTCAGGATTCTTTGATAAATAGAAAGTTTAAAAGAACAGCATTTACTCGAAACAGAAATGTTTTGTAACAATGTAAAAGTCTTTATTGTCACTACTGATCAATTTAATGCATCCTTGCTCAATATGATCATTAATTTAATTAAATCAATAAAAAAAAAATAAAAAAATCTTACTGACCCCAAACTTTTAAAAGATAGCACAAGTACCTTCATCAGATGTGGGTCCTCTCCTAAAATGGCTCGCGTTATTTGTTGGTAATACTTCAGCAGATCCTCTGATAGAGACTGAACAGCAGTGGGCACTACCAAGAGAATACAAGTAAATAAACACAAAATAGAGCTGGGTGAACTATGGAATATTTACAGTATATTATTTTGTTGGTGATATAAATAAATAACCAACCAACATTGTGCAATGATTTCCAAGGTTTTTTTGAATGTGCTTTCTTAGATTGTTGTTCTTTAATTACTGTATTGTATTTTATAATGTTCTTGTTTATATGGGTCATACAAATAAAATGTATATTAAATAAAATAGAAACAATAAAAGGAGTTTCACTTTATTTTAAAAAATAATACTTTTTTTTCACACAGCCCTGATACAGATGCACCTGACAAATCAATTAAAATGTTATTATAATTCAAATATTTGAGGTTTACCTGTCCCTTGAGGTTCCAGATTGCCTTTTCCATCAAGATATGACACATGCACTGCCGATGAGACAAAACGTTTAAAAAAAAATTGTAATCATGAATACATTTCACTAATGCTTCCCGTTCCCACCCTACCTCGAACCATCGTCTCTGCACAGCCTTTGGGAATGTTAGTAGCAAGTGCCAACTCCACCAGATTTATCTCCCGATCCTCTACAAAGAAAAGCTCTCCTTCCTTTAATGGACGGAATGGTAAGGCGTCTTGCGCACCATAGCCGCAAACAGTCTAGAAAATATACAGCAGGTGTAATGCTGTTCTCCAGGTGTCGAAGTGTAACAAACAACACCACAATGCGAATTCACATTAAAAGCGCATTCATTCACACAGAAAGATGAATAGGTACCTCAGTATTGCTCCACCGTAGTGCTCTATTAAAGTCTTCCACGCTCAGCTTCCTTCTCTTTGCATGTCTCATGAACTGTGAGCTGTTCTGTAGTAGGACAAAGAGATGAAATGCACAGACTTTATAGCAAAATGGTTGACAGTTTACAAAGTCTTTCCTTACAAATGCTTTAGAGGATTAAAAACACATGCACACAAAACAACATCTACAAAAGCTTGAGCTGGAAACATTTAGAGACAGTAGCACAAATCAACACAGCTTTAAGTGCATGCCAGCATGCATCTCTAATGCAGTAGCATCCATTAGCGCAACTTTAAAAGAACAAGACACCTACATGTACAGGAGCATGAAATGTTTGTCAGATAACAGTCATAATCTGAAACAATAGCACACATCACTATCGCTTTAAATAAATAATAAGGCACGTGCATGTATGAGAGAATGGAATGCATGCACAACAAATCATTAAAAGCAACTAAATGACAGTCGTGAACATTTAAGTGACTTGAATGGCCTTGCTGAGACAGTAGTAGATCCCATCAGAACAGCTTGCAGGGAACATTAAGACACAGCCATGTACAGTAGCATGCAACGCATGTAAATAGAAGTCAAATGTGACCTGTGTTGCCTCTCTGAGGCGGTAGCACACATCCTCCGCCAGCAGAGTTGCCACCTCCTCGCTGAGCTCCACTCCGGTGCTTTCGGCCATCAGTTTAATTGATTCCCGCGGCACCTCAGCGAAGCGCCGTTCCTCCCGCTCGGTCATCTTTGCGTTAGTAATATCACTAAATAAAGATGCTGTGAATTACATTAAAGATTTAGAGCTAAAGCGACAAGGCTGCGCGCGGCGTCAGGCTCTTTTCAATTCTCCTCACTAGGCTCTTAGCACGCTTGTAATCAAACATGGGGCTAAAAATCATGCACCGTACCTTCCTATTGGCGATTGATGGCGTATCCGTTCATAAATACAAGTTACATTTATTTTATTATATTTTACTACCGTTATGTGCCTATATTAGCATAAGCAGCTAACTGTTCAGACTGTTTCTACAACACTGGCGAACTTGTGGGAAGCGCCTGATTGGCTGAGATCCGCGCACGCGCAAGTATTCTGGGCTCTTACTGGCGGCAGGTATATTGATTCATTTTAACGAATCGAATCGTTTGAGTCGGTTCACTAAGCAATCTTTTATAGTGTACATTATCAGTAAAAATGACAAAGAAAAAAAAAAACTAAAAAGTTGATCAGATACCAGATTTATTTTGCTCTACAACAGGGGTCTCCAAACTCAGTCCTGGAGGGCCGGTGTCCTGCAGAGTTTTCGAACTTGCCTCAACACACCTGCCTGGAAGTTTAGTATGTCTAGTAAGACATTGATTAGCTGGTTCGAGTGTTTAATTAGGATTGGAGCTAAGCTCTTCAGGACACTGGTCCTCCAGGACTGAGTTTGGAGACCCCTGCTCTACAACCAACTTGTTTTTCCTCAACGTTATAAATCCAAAAGTACTTTGGCAAGTAGAGAAGAATACAATATTTAACATGGTATTTTGTATTAATATTGATCATTATCTCCACTGTATAAAAGGGTCTTACTCAAAACAGCCTTAATCAATTTTTGGAAGGAAAAACAAAACAAAAAAAAGTTCCATCATTTTCTCTCCTGACTGAAAACATAGCAAGTACTAACAAATAAAACTACATCTAAGAGAATGCAGCTTCCAAATATCCAACCTTGGACATCATACGAACACATACCAAAAACTGCAGTTTAGACAAAGCTTTCAAATGTTCAGTCACCATGTAATTAAGCATTAGAGAAGACAAAACCACACATCCAATCCTTTTAGGAGGTTTTATTGAGATCTAAGGATGCTGATGTTTCCAAAATAAAAATTTTAAAAGATCATTAAGTTTAAAAATCCTTAAGTTAGAAACAGTCATAGTCAAATCCTTCATATGTACACACACACCAGTAAAATAAAGTCTCCATTTACACTTAAGGGGCTTCATTCAGTCCATCAAAAATAAGTGGCCTCTGAAGTACAAGACAGACTTGAAGAAAATAAAAGCAAACATTTGAGAATAATCTTAAAAAGGCAGTTTAAAACAAAAACACAAGTAGCAAAAGGGACACTGTACACGACTACTAAATAAAAACAACGTTAAATATGAATTCAGCACAGTACAAATCACAGAAAGCTTTTAGCAGTTAGCTTCTGGGATCATCATACCACAGACTTCACAACAGTGGGTTATCCAGAGCATCTTGAGGACCAGCATTGGAAGCGTTCTCCAATTGCTGGAGCCGTAGGGCCAGAGGGAGCAGCAGGTCATTCAGATGTTGGCTGCTGAAGGTGAAAGCGTTGTTGGCCACTGCTTCCACCGACGGTGGAGTGACTGGACCAGAGCCGTCAGGGTACACCGGCGAAGCCAGCGCAGATGGAGGGGATGGAGAAGGTGAAGAGCACGTGTCTGAGGCAGGTGAAAGAGATCCCCCATTGGTCATCTGAGGGCAGGATGTGTGGTTCAAGTTGAGACCTTTGATCGTGTTAGGAAGCCCATGTTGGAACCGACAACGGGTGCCATAGAGACAAAAACCAAATGAGCTGAAGGTGCGACAGAGGGCACCTCGAGGCATCCACGCTTGGGATTGTGATGGAGGTTGCCAGGTTCGCTCCTCCTCTCCGCCGTCCGATTCAGAGCCGCTCTCAACGTGCAGGAAGTGGCATCTGGTACCGAAGGGGCAAACCCCAAATGCACGATAGGTACGGCAAGGCACATTCCTGCGACGGGGACGGATGGGCCTCTGCTCTTTAAGGTTGTGCACGAAGAGACACCGTGTGCCATAAACGCAGTAGCCGGCGGCGTGGTAGGTACGACACAGCTCGGTTTTGTACTTGGGATGACGGGAGGGTACATGGAGATCGTGGAGGCCGTGGGCGAACTGGCAGCGTTCGGCATACTTGCAGGTACCAGTCTCAGCATAACGGCTGCACAGTTCCGTCTTATAGCGGGTGGAGCAGAGCCAGGGCGTCATTGGGGGCGATGGGGACTCAACCAGAGGAAGCAAGGCCTCAGCAAGAGACAAGCTCCCACTGCCTAAACCCTCCTCAGGGGAGAAAACCTCATTCTGGCCTTCAGTGGGGAACAGAAACAGGTCATCCTGACTGGTCTGGAAAATAACAAAAATAAGATAGTGTTTTAGGACTTGAGGGAGAGAAGAGGAAGAAAACCCACCATAACACAAAACACCTTTACCTATTGCAAAGATAAAATAGTGAATTTTACCACTACCCAGGAGCCATAGTAAGGATTAAACTACTACATTGCCTAGAAACCAGAACACATTTCATTTAGAAGCTATAGTAAATCATATTACACTGCCACGGCAATTATAGGCGCATACACACA